GGCAGGGAAATCTGGCATGTCAAGGTGCCCCTTGGGGTGGATTTATCACAGACTGTTTGGGGCAGGGACTGTTTTTCTGTTCTGGGTCTGTGCAGCACCTAGCACCGTGGGGCCCTGGTCTGCGGGGGGAGGGAGGAGGGTGTTCGCTAGGAGTTGGCACAATGCGGGCAGTAAATGATAATAAGTGAGAATCAGCACCACTGCCCGCTGCCCTGGCACTGAGGAGATGCCACTGCTAGGACACTGAACCCCAAAGCTGGGTCTCAAGGGTGGGTCAAGGGCTTGGCCTAGCACCAAAGCACTTTTGTCCAATGGCTCCCCCCCATCTCCAGGGTGTGAGGTGGGGTCAGTCTCTGGGGCCCATTCAGCCCCTCTGCTGAGTCTGCCAGCAGGTCAGAGACAAGGGGGGTGGCTTGTTTGGGATGTGAACACCAGCAAGTGGCTGAGAGCAGCCAGCTCACCTCACACCAAGGTCATGGTCAGATTCCAATGCGTTGAGGGGAAGGATCCTTGTCCCATGATCAGCCTCTGGCCCCCCAGCATGGAGCATTTGTAGCATGTTGAGGATTTGCCCAACTCAGTTCCTCCATCTACACTGGGGCCAGCAGAGCCACCCGGTCCCTCCTGCACATGCCCCTCCAAAGCCCCCAGCTCCGTGCCATCACCTGGTAGAGTTTGAAGAGGTTACCCCCCTCTGAGGACAGGAAGGCGTTCTCGGTGTGGTACCTCAGGATGGACCTGTTCTTCCATTCCTTCAGGGGTGTCTTGTTGGTTACGTGCCACACGGACAGGTCCTCAGCTTGCAGATCATAATAACCAGGGTTCTGAAAAGCGAGGACCCAGCTGAAACTTCTTAACCACATCCCTGGTACTTACCCGGCAACCCCCACCCCCAGGGCATCTGGGCACCTTCCCAGCTGTGGCTCATGCCCCACAAGGCAGAGAAGCACCATCCCCATTGTACGGGGGAGAACGTAGGCACAGAGACTAGGTGACTTGCCCTAGGTCACACAGGGGGCCTGTGGCAGGGCAGGGAATGGAAGCCAGGGCTGCCAAGCCCTCAGCTAGCACCTTGACCTCTGGACCATCCCTCCATATAACCTCCCATGCCCATGTCCCCCACCTGCCCATGTGCATTCAACCACTTCTAACGCACCCTCTCTCCCCAGCAGGTAGCTATTGGCCATGGAGAAGGGGACCCCACCTTGTAGTCGTCGCTGGTGGAGCCCACCGCGGAGCCGAAGGTGTTGTAATTGGCCCAGTTGCCGTCTCCCTCTGGGTAGTTGACGTCGCTCCCCTGCTGGCTGGACCAGCGATCGCCATTGGTGCACTTGCCATAGATGTTGTTCTCGTGCACGCTGGCCACCAGGGTCCAGCCACCCCCCTTGGTGGTCATGTCGCAGAAGGTCTGGTAGGTCTCGCCGTTCTCGGTGCGCAGGGTGTAAATCCCATCTGCAGGGGGCGGGGCGGGAATGGGGGAGCACTGAGCTGGTCAGCCAGGGCCGGGGAAAGGGGCAGGGCCCTCTCGGAGCCAGCCATTAAAAGGGAAACGCCCAGGTGAGGAGCTTCTAGTGCGCTGCAGCAGGGGGCAAACCCAGAGTCACTGGAGCAAGACGTGCCCCTGCATCCGGGAGCAGAGCGGCCTGATTCTCAGGGACACTAAAGCCCCCTAGGCAGCGGGAAGTGAGTGCAAATTACAGGGGCTCCGAAAGTCGGGGACTGAGCCTTTCCACACACAAGCTGTAGCACTTTAATGATACCGGTGTAGTTACAGCGCTACAAATTGTGGACACAATTTACACTGGCTTTGTTTGTACGGTCACCCACAAAGGATTATCCGGGTATGCTGGAATTATGAGTAAAATGTGTTGTAACCAGATAGACAAGGGGATAAGGGAAGATCTTTTATTGGATCAACATCTGTTGGTGAGAGAGAGACAAGTGTTTGAGCCACACAGAGCTCTTCTGTGAAAGCGCGTCCCTCTGACCAACAGAGGTTGGTCTGGTAATAGATATTACCTCACCCACCTTATCTCTGTATTATCCTGGGACTGACACAGCAGCAGCTACACGGCTGCTACTCTGAAACTGCATTTAAACCAGTTGTCAGGAGAGTTGATAAACAGGTTTTCTCCAGACAAAGGAAAGGGGCCAACACCTCAAACCCAGAGGTGCTGGATCTAGGGGTGCTGGGGGTGTGGCAGCACCCTCTGGCTTGAAGTGGTTTCCATCATATACGGGGTTTACAGTTTGGTTCAGTGGCTCTCAGCACCCCCATTATACAAATTGTTCCAGAAACCCTGCTCAAACCAGAGGTGGCCAAATTCAGTGGGTGATTCATCTGTATGGGAGGCAGCAGAAAGATCTCGTTTGCCCTGTAGAAATCACTAGTGGGGCGAAGACAGACCAGTATCCGCCCCAGGAGGAACAGGAACACTGGCTGGATCCATTTCAAAGGTTTATTGGGCTATAAAGAAAGGGGAGTGAACTCCTACGTTATCCTTCGCCTCAGGAGACAAGGAAAAGCAGAACCTGGGACTCTGTGGGGATCCTGACTAAGAACTAACCAGCCACTGCTGGGAAAGGAAGTTTGGTCAGAAAACGCCTGGAACAAACCTTGTGAAGTTACGTCTTTGCCATTAGAAAGTGTAGTTTTACTTTTGTTTGTTGGGAGCCCTTTCTGTCTGGAGCCCGTCTACTGGAACTCACTTCAAACCTCCCTCGCTTTACTACAATAAACTGGTTTGACTGTTTCTCTAACCCAATCCTGTGCTTTGGTGGAACTGAGGTGATTGTTAGCTCCAGTCAAGATAACAAGCAGTTGTTCCTGTCCTGTGCAGTGCTAGGGGCTGTGCGCTGCAGAGAGACGTCTCCGCGGAGCTCGGGGGCTGGAGTTCACTGAGTTACCGGCTAGGCGAGGTTTAGGCTGGGAGGGCCCTGAGGAGTTTGCTGGCAAGGCAGACAGGCTGGAGCAGGAGGGAGCTTTCCACTGCTGCATACCTCCCACTTGCTGGGGCTGGCAGGGCTAGCAGAGTGTCTCACAGTGCTGGGTATCGACAGCAGCTTGTCACAGCCAGCCCTGGTAATGCGGTTCCCCACTGTGCCCACGGGCAGGCAGGTGCCCCTGCTCCCAGCACAGAGCTGCCCGGGTGCATCTGAACCAACTGGACCCAGCTGTGGCCTTTACACTGGGTCTGGAGCAGGCCCCAGAAGAGGCAAAGCAGCTTCTGCAGGTCCAGGGATGCTTCCTCCACACTCACCTCCAGCCCCGGCCCGGGTGGTTTTAATTTCCTTGCAGCTGCGGGGCAGGCTCTGGTAGCTCTGGTCGCTCTGGCCGCTCTGGCCACTCTGGCCACTCTGGGAGCAGGACGTGTCTTTCCAGTTCTCCAGCAGGTTACGGATGGCAAGTTTCAGTTCAGCAGTACCCACACTCTTGGCTGCACAGGGGGTGACTTAGGGTTAGTTAGGAGTTTTCTCTGTTACCATGTATGGGGCCAGAACAGCAGAGCCCACCCTTCCGCTGTATTGCCAACTCATGATATCAGAATCATGAATTAGACCTCCCAAAACCAGGATGTTTTGCCCCAAAATCATGAATTTGGGTTTTTATTGAAAGACTATATTGTGTTTTTTCAGTCTACCTTTTGATAGCTGAATTCCCGCTGCCCCTCCTCATGGTAGTGTGACATTTAGTATTTCCTACTCTCCCAAATGTATCGGGGAAGGGGATTTTATCCCCTCTACAGGAGCTCTCACCCCCCACATGCCCTTCCCTTGCCCAGCAACTAACGCTGCACCCCACCCCCCAAATCAATCCTGTTCCCACATCAGATCTGCCCCCACATCTGCCTCTTGCATCAATTCTGTCTGTCCCCCAGCCCTCAAATCAGTTCAGCCCCCTACCGGTGCTACGCCCAGCCCCTATCCAGCCCTGCCCCCAGCTCCACATCCGTCCTGTCCCTATCCAGCCCCCAGCCCCACATCTGCCCAGCTCCCCCAAGCATCCCATCAGTTCTGCTCCTCCTACAGCTCCTAGGATTTGTCACTCCTCCCAGGCTTAGGGGGCTGCAGCAGCACCCCCATCCCCTCCTGCCTTCCCAGGTTGGGTGTTGCAGGGGCGAGGGGGAGGAGCAGAGGAACCTTCCTGTCCCTGTTGCTCACAGGAGGGGAGGGGAAAGTGGAACTGCGCTGAGCTGCTGTGCTCTTTAGCCCCCTCCTGTGAGAAGGGGAGCAAAGGGGGAGAGGCTCTGCCAGCTTCCTGAGGGGTGAACTCCAAGGGGGCAGCTGGAGCGTCTCATGTCGCAGCGAGTGGAGCTTGTGCCCCGACTGACATGCTGTCACTCGTGACAAATCGTGAGAGCTGGTGACACTTTGTCATCATGGTGCCCAGTGGAGATCCCAAGCCCTGGGGGGCAGGGATGGGGCACAACGCTGTGATGGGGCAGAGCAGATGTGTCTAGGTATAAATGCTCTGGGTGGGACCCACACAGGGACTTTAAAGTGGAATGGATACATTTTAAATATATACATTTAAACCCTGTTCCACATCCTTAAATCAGCAGCAGAAGAGTTTTATAGATTTTAGAATCAGACATAGGGGCTAGGTTGCAGAACTGGCTGGAGTGTGAGCGGCTGGAGACTCAGGGCTTTTGAAAATCAGGTCACTTTTTTAGGAGTCTTTGGGGGCCAAGATTTTCAGACTGATTTTGGGTGCCCAACTCAAGACATCTGAGGCCCCTTTATGGTGTCTCAAGATTGACACCCAAAAATCACTCATCACTTTTGAAACTCTTGGCTTCAGAGTCAAAGTTTTTGTACTTGGACAATCAGCTCTTTGGCGCTGGTGTTGTCTTCCTGTTCTGGGTTTGTACAGCGCCTGGCGCGACAGGGGCCTGGTCCAGGATTGGGACGCCCAGGTTCATCCATAACCCTGAGTAATAAAACTAATACCTTTAGTTTTACCTTTAGTGGGTGCAGAGGCACCCACCTCTGCAAATCTTGACTCCAGAACACGGACAGAAGAAATTCATTGGAGCAGGTTCTTTATGAACCAGGGGTGGAAGGAGGCTGCCTGCCAGTTGGGGTCGTTATTGCCTCACTTGTGTATCAGCAAAGCCTCCCCTGCAGCAACCCGCCCAGCTCTTCCCCGGCATGTATCACAGCCCTGGCCCCAGAGGCAGGGTCAGAGTTCGGGAGAATTAGTTCCCAGAAGAGGAAAACGAAACAGCCACTTACCGCAAGGGGTCGCCCTGGTTACTGAGATGAGGAGCAGCAGCAGAGCGAGTTGCTTCATTGTTGACTTTGCAGCAGGGAAAACAGTAGATCAGCTGGTTAATAGCCAGGCTGGGGCTAGTCAGGGCCGGCTCTAGCGTTTTTGCCGCCCCAAGAAGCAAAAAAAAAAAAGACCGCGATCATATTGGCGGCAATTCGGCGGCAGGTCCTTCGCTCTGAGAGGGAGTGACGGCCCGGCTGCCGAATTGCCGCCGAACGGCTGGACGTGCCGCCCACCTCTTCATTGGCCGCCCCAGGCACCTACTTGCTATGCTGGTGCCTGGAGCTGGCCCTGGGGCTAGTTAGTGTCACAGAGCATGCGGTGGGAGGGGCGGCTCCTCCCCAAATCTCCAGCTCCCAGGGCTGCCCTGGCTCTCTGCATTACCTGCCCATGGCACTAACTCCCTGCTGCCCATGAGTTCAATGGGGGTTTGCCGGAGTGGGGATGGCCTTGCAGTGACATCCTTAGAGCAGTTTTCATCTTCAGAGCCCACTGAGGTGAGCTGGGCCGGGAGGAATCCAAGTAGCTTCATGTGCACAGAAGAAGCCCTCCCCCTGCACTCCCTCTGCTAACTGAGCCTCGCATCACCCCTGTAGGGTGGACAGGTCTCATTATACCCATTTTGATGATGGGGAAACTGAGGCAGATAGTGCCTGACCTGAAGCCCATTGAAGTCAATGGAATGCCTCACACTGGCTCCAGTCGGCACTGGGATCAGGTCTAGAGAAGGGATGTGAGGGGATCGGTTCCCAAGTCCCATCTCAGACCTTTTTCTAGGAGTCTTTCTCCTTGCTCTGCAGCAGAACCGACGCCAGCACATTTCACTCATGCCCTGGCATCTTCCCTCCCACTGCATGGCCACAGCTTCACGAGCCCAGCCAAAGGGCCCTGCAGCACAGCTACCCAGTGCTAGCGGCAGGCAGAGGGGGCTTGTTAAGGCTCAGATTCAGGAGAGCTGGGTTCAATTCCCCCTCTGTCACTCACTCCTCGGGCAGGTGATGGGCTCTCTCTGGGCTCAGCTCCCCAGCTGTAAAACAGGGGTGAGAACCATCCCTACTTCACCAGGGTGCTCTGAGGATAAGTCCATTGAGGCTGGTGTGTGCTGGGGAGCCAGATGGAACCATGCTGATGCTGTGTAATAATATTGCCTAGTGCTCTTCATGAGTGGATCTCAGTAGCATTATCCTCATTTTACAGCTGTAGAGAAACCAACAACGTCTTGGGCTTTTTAAAGCTACTATTTGTCGTGTTGACATATCACAACTACTGCTACGTGACATCACTGAGGAATGTACTAAGGGGAAGGGTCGGGACTCACCTGGTTCCCAGTTCCAGTGTTGCTGAGGCGTCTAACTGCAGATTTCAGCATCCGAAGCTTCTGGCCAGGGAGACAGAGCGATTCCTTTGCTGCACCAGTCACAGATCTAACCTTTTATAGGGAGTGGAGCCACCCAAGAAAAGCAAACATAACTTACAAATACCAGAACTCTCCAGACACCCCACCCAGGAGCTGGGGAGATCGTTTCCGGCGAAAACGTTAAACAGGATCAAATCTAGTTCATGTTCCAGGTATCTGAATGTATTGCCCTTCAAACAACCTCTGGCAGTCCACCCAGGAAACTCCGTCTTGATGCAAAAGCATATGGCAGGACGGATATTACTGCATTATCACTAATTATTTGCATGCTGTGGCTGAATGTTGATTCAGGTGGTGGAGTTGAATGGTCCTGATGAAGCCAAGAAGGAAGTTGGAGCTCTGTAGATCCTCCACTGCTATAATAACGAGGCAGGTTAAAGCAGGAACTTTGCTATTTAGGTTTCATTGAAACAGCGTCTCTGCCCTTTGTCACAGATCCACAGGTCAGGTGTGTGACTTACTTTGTTCTGTCTGTTACTACTTTGAACCACTTAAATCCTACTGTCTGTATTTAATAAAATCACTTTTTATTTAGTAATTTACTCAGAGTATGTATTAATACCTGGGGGAGCAAACAACTGTGCATATCTCTCTATCAGTGTTATAGAGGGCGAACAATTTATGAGTTTGCCCTGCATAAGCTTTATGCAGA